AAAATTAACCCTCTAGGTTAATTAGGTCACGTGCTAAAGCAGTCCGGAGTTGCAAATTTGGCTGTTTTCGGACAGCTATAAAACCGGAAGTACATGTCGGAGGTCAAATGTCAAAGTATTAACTAATAGCTAAGGTCAATGACCTTTGACCTTTTAAAGGTCAAGGTCATCAAAGGTCAAGATCACGAGATTTGACCCTTTAAACTTTGTAAAAATTCAACTGGAAGTTGCAAAAAAGCAAAATCGAGAATCGAAAAAAGGCTTCCTAATGTCATGTTTTTTTTTCTTTCATTTAATCATTTAAATCGGATAAGCCGTTATGTCTGAATAAAAATTGAATCATTTCAGAAAAATCAAAAAGTTTCACGTCTGTTACGGATTTTTTTTTCTTCGTTTTTTTGTCATAACTTTGTCTACCTATCAGCATAAAATTTTTTGACCTCTACAAATTACACCGGAAGATATTCAACCGGAAGTGAAAATCGATTTCCTGTTTGAACCGGAAGTAAAGTTGAAAATTTGACTGTACCAATTTGTTTACTTCCTTAAACTGCTTTGCTAAAATTTTTTCAGATTAATCAGACAAAAAGCAAAAAAATTGAAAAAAATGCAAAATTTGGCAAAAAAAATGTCTGCAATTTTTTGATTTGAAGTTTTTTGTATGACCATTTGTAACATATTGCAAAAAGAATTTTTGAAATATCTTCAAAATTCCGGAAGTGATTTCGTAAAATTAGATTTTGTATGCAATAAAAGTGTTTATCTCTATGTAAATTTTCAGATTGATCGAAATAGAATTGTAGAAGTTAGATTTTTTCAATTGCTATCTTGTAGTCATTAGCGCAAAGTAATAAACAGTAAAGTTTAAGCAAATTCAGATAAGTATTAAAGCTGATTAATGAAAAAAATAAAAAAAAAGCCATTGTCCACTGCTCATTTCCAGTTGGTCAAAATGGTGCCAATTTACATTTAACAAATATTTTGACTACAAAACAGCAACAGACAGTTTTGAGAAAACAATCGTACAGACTTGGTTGAAATCAGAAGATCTTGTACATATTCGATGAAATCGTAAAACTTGTGACTTAATTATACCAGAAAAGGTATGTTTTGGATGAAAGAAGCTCTTGTGCAAGAGTTGATGAGTATCAGTTTCTTTTAAATACACTATAATATCCAGTTTATTTGTTTCTGCTATGGAATCTCCTTTAAAGACAGTGGTATCGAGAAAGTCCATTGTAATGCCTTGCCCACGTGGTGGGTCCTAACATTGAGTGTAAACGGCTGATTGGTTAAAGTTTATTGGCAAGAAGATTAATATGACAGAATTCTCATTCCTTGTATCTTGTACTCTGGTGCAATCTTAACCGTAAAAGGCTGAAAGTACAAAAATGAGCAAGGATGTACAAAACAGAAAAAGAAATCATAAATTGAAAATAATAAAATAGTAAAGGCATAAGAAAGTGGATGGAATTTAAGTGCATGATGCAATGACACACTTATGTTTAGCAGTCATGGGTTTCCGTACAAAATAATTTCTTAAAAGCAGGTTGCACAGTTTGACATTACAGGCATTGATAAGACATTGTAAATGTTATTAATAGTAGGTACAAACATTTAATATAGTGTCACATGTACAAAGTTGGGCCGAAAAACTGACGCGAGGGATCTGTGCATAATTTGGCGCCATTTTGTTGGGTTTGTTTACATTTTGGTAAAAGTTGGACAGCATGAAAAAACATAAAATTGCAATAGAAATTATAGATCCTGTGATATTTCATATCATGGGAGGCTTATCTTATATAATCGGGTATAAACTTACATTGTGGTTGGCTAAACCTGAAGAGTTAGAGAAATGAATTTGAGTACTTCGTTGCTATGAAAAATTAATAATTTTTCTCTCTTAAACAGAAGAGTTCTAAACAGAAAGATGACTCTTGTCAAGACTGAGCTAAGTTTCAGACCACAAATACCACACATGAATAAAGTGATAAAATGGTAACATTACACTCCCCGTCTGATATGAAAATATCACGATGGAATATTTGAAAATAAAATGAATAATGACATAAAAACATTGGTTAAAGGTAAATGAAAATGTCAACATCGAGTCTTTCGATTACAAATTGTTCGAAAGCAAAGGTAAGATTTCTGAGATTGTTCTCACTTCGGCTTTCCTAACGATGCCATCATCATCAGGAAATGCATTTAATATTAGTCCGGTACTCCAATTATTACGATGTAAATTTTTATCCTTGAGGAGCACAAGTTCGTTCACTTTTAGATTAGGTTGTTTGTTGAACCATTTAGTCTTTTGTTGTAAGGTAGGTAGATATTGGCGTTGAAATTGTTTCCAAAATTGGTCTGCTAGGACTTGAACATATTTCCATTGGGATTTATACATGTCACAAATTTCCAAACTTCGAAGATGTTAAAATCTGAGGTGATTCAGGATCAACAGAAACTGAAGTGATAGGTCTGGAGTTTACTATAGCACTAACTTCAGCCATTAAAGTTGATAGAACTTGGTGAGTTAAATGTTTATACTTATTGTCTAAAAGGATGGAATCAAGTATTCGACGGACAATTCCTATCATACGCTCCCACACTCCGCCCATGTGGGAAGAGTGTGGAGAGTTGAACTTCCAGACGACTCCGCTATTGTATAAAAAATCTTTAACTGGAGCGTCTTCAACGTTGATAGTGTCTATATGTAGAGGATGAGTTGATCCAATGAAGTTGGTTCCTCTGTCTGAGCGAAATTCCTTGACTGGTCCTCGTAAAGAAATAAATCTCTGAAGAGCGTTGATAAAAGATGAGGTACTCATTTCTTCTATAAGTTCTAAGTGGATCAGACGTTTTGCACCAGTTATCCAGTATCCATTAGGTCTCACTGCCCCTTCTGTGAAGTGTCTTCCTTGATGTTGAACAGATTCGTGGAACTGTCTGATGAGTAAAGTTGAGACATGGTGTTTTCCTGGTATGATGATGGGATTCTTCTCATCTGGAGGAAGAGTTGACTTAGTGAGATGACCTCCTACTCGCAGTATGCCATATGGGTCAATGACTGGAGTAAGGGAGATAATAGGGCTATTTCGATGAAGAGGTTTTCTGTCTAGGATGCATTGAATTTCTTCAGCATAGTATTCTTGTTGGACTGCTTTGATAACCAGTATTTCAGATTCATGATATGATGCTACTGTCTTGTATTGTTGACAGGAATGCCATTGTTGGCATGGAGTACTAGTAGGTTTAGATTGAAAACTCTGTGCTATATGTTTTAAGTGTGATATAGCTTCAACCAATGACTTCCATGTAGAAAATCTGGAGAACCGATGGCTCAACAGTAGTATACGGATAAGTAATCCCGGCTAGAAATTAAAATTAATGCGCATTTGTTGAGTTGTGCGTATTCATTCACCAATTTTTTTCCAAATTATTGTTGATAGGTGGACAAATTGGTGGTTAGACAGATCTGCAGGTAGATAGGTCGGTTAAAAGACAGGTGGGCAGATAAAAAAGTAGACTTGAAGGCAGGTGGGCAAGTGGACAGGTCGGCAGGTGGACAGGTCGGCAGGTGGACACGTAGACATGTCAGTTTTTCAGGTCAGCAGGTAGACAGATCGGCAGGTAGACATGTCGGTGGGTCAACATGTCGGCGGGAAGATAGGTTGGCAGGTTGGTGGGTAGACAGGTCGGCGGGTAGACAGGTCGGCAGGTAGACATGTCGGTGGGTCGACAGGTCTGCAGGTCGGCCGAAAGACAGGTTGGCAGGTTGGTAGATCGACAGTCGACAGACGGGTGGGCAGATAAAAAAGTAGACTTGAAGGCAGGTGGGCAAGTGGACAGGTCGGCAAGTGGACAGGTAGACATGTCAGTTTTTCTGTAGCCGGGCTAGTTCAGGGGGGAAGCGAGCTCAGATGTTATATAAACAAAACGATGTTCTCAGTTGATAACTTTAATAATAATTAATTCCCATGGCTATAAAAGAATCCAAAAGTTCTGAAACTTCCTCTTCTCTGAAAGTAATACGTTCACCTTTTGAAGCCATTTTGAACAGTTATAACACAATACACAATATAAATTTCAAATGCCAGATGTAAACACAAATAATGTCAACAGTTTACAATAAATGTCCCAAAATAAACACAAATATATAAAAGTAAAACTAACCCAAAGATGGGGTTTTATATAAAGCTGTTGAAATATGGAAAACTATATCTGTCTATAACTAAACCTGTGAATGTAATTATAATTAAAAGGTAATTATAACACTTAGGAATTAAATAACAGACTATGAACATATTGAACACATAGGATCCCAAAGCATAAAAATTCAAGATGGCTGCTGTTGCTTAAAATACCATGGTTACATTTATACACCTCTCATACAAAATATACTTTCCCAGAAAGACAATTACCCAATAAAATACCAAAACACACATACCTGTGAAGTTATTAGAAGACAATAACTGGTGATGAAAAAGAATAAAGAAGTAGGTATTCAGTATTTCAAGGAGGTTGAAATATACTTCCTTCTTCTTTAAAGGCTTAGGTAAAAGTAAAGTTTCTGACTGGACAGGTGATGAAACTCACTAAAAACTCACCCAGTTGGCCAATGACAGAAGGTGACAAGGTCCAGTGAGATCAGTTGAGTTAAAGAGATTAAGAGAGGGCAATAATTAGTTAATAGTATAAGGCCAGTGTAATGTAATTAGGTGTTTATAAAAACAGTAGTGGTGTATTTAGAGAAGATAACAAATAAATAAAAGAACCAAGTTTCTTTAAAAAATACACCCTATCACATTTCAGGTCGGCAGGTAGACAGATCAGCAGGTAATTAAACTTGTAAGTTATTTAAACTTATGCATGTTTTCGTAAAACCAATAACAATCGATCACTGTGGTAACACCATTTTTCTTAGCATAATGCATCACATAAAACACTGATATTTGTTTGAAATTTTATAAGGATAAGATGAACTGCGGGATGTATTTACTTCAAACAGAGGCGACATCTGCTTTCCGGGCCCCCACATGCTCAATTAGGAGGCAGTTAATTAGAAGATGTTTTTCTGTTACAGAACAGATGTCGAAACTGACATGTGACTTCTGAGAATCATCTCCAGAAAAGATGGATAGTCTAGGTAAATGCGGCAAAATCCTGACATCCTCTGATTTGGATTCAGTAGCTGAGGCTAATTTGAAAGTTGACTCTTCAGTACCCTTAGATTGCTGTGTTGCATAATCCAAGATCCAAGAATTTAATTCCTCTTTACTACCAGCTTTAGGTTTAATTCCCATGGCTATAAAAGAATCCAAAAGTTCTGAAACTTCCTCTTCTCTGAAAGTAATACGTTCACCTTTTGAAGCCATTTTAAACAGTTATAACACAATACACAATATAAATTTCAAATGCCAGATGTAAACACAAATAATGTCAACAGTTTACAATAAATGTCCCAAAATAAACACAAATCACAAAAGCAAAACTACAAACCAAAATACAAATATCAAAATAAACTCCAAGTCCAAACTCAAACTCAAAATCAACTCAAACTCCAAATTAAATCCAACTCACAAAGTTGCAAAACCAAAATACACAACTTTGAAACTCAAAACTCAAATCAAAACTCTGGTTGAAATAAAAATCAAACCAATGACAAATACAAAGACAAAAAAAACAAACACAAGACAAAATACAAACACAAGACAAACACAAGACAAACTAAACCATTATAAATATGATCCAAGACTCAAAAACCAAATCAAATCAAAGTCCAAAAACCAAATACTCAAAAGAAAAGTATAAACAAACTATGAATTGAAATCCAAAATCCAAAACTTGAATCACAAT